CCCACCTTTTGCTGTATGTACCCGTCATCCTACGTGTTCTGTGCTGGTCGGTAGTGGCTCCTAGGTAATCCTAGGAGATCGTAGTCTACCTAGGTATTACCAGGTAATCTAGGCAGAGCCCCGGAAAATGTAGGATAGCTACGAGGTCATAGTGGGCCCGTTTCCACCTTTTGCTGTATGTACCCGTAGTGATCCTACATTTTCTGTGGCGGTCGGTAGCGGCTCCTAGGTAATCCATGGCAATCCTAGGATCACCTAGGTATCCCTAGGGAAGTCCCGGAAAATGTAGGATAGCCAAGCGGATCAGAGGGGGTTTGAGAGGGATGCCTGGGCCCTTTCCCACCTTTTGCTGTATGTACCCGTGATCCTACATTTTCTGTGGTGGTCGGTAGCGGCTCCTAGATAATCCATGATAATCCTAGCATCTCCTAGGGAGTCTACCCAGGGCTAGGTAATCTAGCCAGAGCCCCGGAAAATGTAGGATAGGGCCCTTTCCCACCTTTTGCTGTATGTGCCCGTAGTGATCCTACATGTTCTGTGTGGTCGGTAGCGGCTCCTAGGTAATCCATGGTAATCCTAGGATGTCCTAGATATTCCAAGGGGAGCCCCGGAAAATGTAGTATAGCTATGGGTTCATAGGGCTGTTGAGGGGGATGCCTGGTCCCGTTTCCACCTTTTGTTGTATGTACCCGTAGTGATCCTACATTTTCCCGCGCTTTGGACAGGTGATCCCAGAGAGTGTCCGGCGTCCGTGGCAAGTTCTACGCGACGAGATCGTGACGGAGGTGTCTGCGCTTGGGATGTCTATCCAGTGGCGCGGGCAGAGCCTGCGACTGGGCAGCTCATGGGAATAGAGAGTAGAACCCCGACATGCCACCAATATTTTTGCGTTTCTTTCACATAGATGTCTAGCACAGAAGCAGCAAGCAAAGTCAGGAACGCTCTGGGCGAGAAGTTTTTCCAGGGAGTCCTGGATATTCTTGGCGAGGGCTTCCAGCAGCGTTTCCTGGACACCGCGTGCAAAGAAGTGGCTGCATGGCTTCGCCACCGAGCAACGGGCGGGTCCCTGGATGCTTGGCGGAGCTTGGACAGCGGCGGTCGAACCTGGCCAGGGCGACGCCGGAGTCCATGCGCGACGCTGGCCCCCTGATCTTGTGGACGAGCAAGCGCGAGCGCGCAAAGCTGGAGAAGGCGCCGAAGAAGGATCCAGTCCCCACTCCCGACGAGTACTGTGAGGACTTCGAGCGAGAGCTGCTTGCACCATACCCGCAGTGCGATGAGGCGCATAGTAAACTTTTAAAGGGCTGTTTGCATATGTCGTAGTAGGGCTAAGCCAATAAGACGAGCCTCCCGCCCTAAACAGGTTCTGTATGGAGCGCCTTGCATGTTTGGCGCCCTGGTGCATGGTGCCGTCTGGCTGTGCTGGGATGCTATTGGCGGCCATTGGCCGCTGGAGGTATGCATTACCCTAGCCTCCAACGAGTCGAGAGCGCAGCTTCGCCGACTGCAGCAGCGGACCTGACGCTGGCGATCCTATGCGATGACCTCCTCGCAGAACTCCAGCAAGGACCTGGCCGAGTGTAGATCCAGAGGAGGATCTGGTGGCCAAAGCGGTGCATAGAAGGTACGGGGCCCGCAACTCCAGGTGTCGTTCTGGTAGCAGACCATACCCCTCTGCAGCTGGTAATCCACGTTGTCGGTGGCCGACGCCCGCTCCAGGAACGCGGCTGCCTGCTGCTTCAGGCACTCCTTGCGCAGGCCATCGAAGATCCACGCATCCGGCTTGCCAGTGCGAATGGCCAGAAGGGCCCAGTGGCTTTCTCCGAAGCGAAGCCGGAGAAAGGATCCGAGCTTCCTAAGACTGAGGAGTACGGACGGAGCACTTTGCTCCAGTCGTGCCAGCCGAGCCGGGCGAGACGCGAGACTTGGACACCCAGGAGCCGGGCAGTCGCAAGGAAATCATCAAAAGCTGCTGCCCAGCTCTTCGAGAAAGGGCTAGAGGTAGCGAAAAGTCTGAAGATCGACCCGCGCGCAAACTTCCAATCGAGCCACGCGCGCAGTCGGGCGCCAAACCCAGCGGGTCATTGGAGGACTTTCATCCTTGCCTGAGCAAAGGGGGGCATCCTGAGGTGTCCAGTATGCCAAGATCTCCGCTCGCAGGGTAGCCATCAGCAGCCAGTCTCTGAAGAAGGTGCCACCAACGCTGAGCCTGCAGCGCCCGCAGCCGAGAAAGCGGCAAAGCGCGGCCGCCCTGGCCGAGGTGAGCAGGTGCCAGAGCTGCGCCCATGGCTGCTGGCCAATCGCCCGGGCATCTATCAGCGGGTGGAGGGCGTGCGTTACCTCTGCAGGCCATGCGGCTCGGAAGTGTTCTTCGTCAGGCCGGCGTTGAGCGCTGTTTGGTTTGTTCACGAGCACGAGAACAAGCACAAGGAAGGCCTCCAGCGGATGGCAGCGGCCAGCTGGTTCCAGTTGCGCCCGAACCTGTCCGAGCTCCTTGCGCAGGCCGTCGCCTTCCAGCGGACACCGGTCCCCTTGCTGCCCTAAAGGAGCCGGCGCATGCCTGCACGCACGCGCAACATCTCCCAACATGTTGGCCTTTTTTGTTTTAAGATATTTTAAGGCTTCGTCTCCCTAGACCCTCAGAATCCCTCAGACAATCTCAGACATCCCCCAAACATCCTTAGACGGACACAGCGTGATCAGGACTCCTTCGACGCCTGGATTGCCAACGGGGTGCTGGCGTTCACAACAGAGAGCCAGGCGCCTTCTGGCTGGCTCAGCGCGCTGCGCATCACCGTGCAAGGCTGCAGCGCAACCCTGAGGCACCGAGACTGCGAACAAGGCCTCGCAGACAGCTTGTGTGCAAGCTGCGAGAAGCTTGTCACGAAGCCGATGCTGGATAGCGTGGCCAACTGGGCGAGGCGCTTAGCCTGCGCCGACCTGGTCTTCGCATGCGTCTTCCGGCCCCAAGACGTGGCAGCCAAGCTGGAGCGCATGGAAAGCAGCGACTACACAGCCTACAGCAAAAAGTGTCGGTCTGAAGTGCGCCGCTGCTCGGAGATCTTCAGCAGTATGGGGATCGCAGCTCTGCACGACCACTGCAGGAGACAGTGGCTGTGTATGACCGGGGCAACCCTCACGGACGAGATCCGGCGCTTCATCCGCGTGAACATCGCCGAGCTCAACCTGATCAGCTGCGAGCCCGACGAGCAGTCTGCGTGTGAGGCGTTGTGCCAGACCCGACCGGGGCCTCGTAGAGCAAAGCGAGGATCTGCAGCTCGCGGCGTACGTGGCCTCGGGCAAGATGCAGAAGCACGTGGCTGTCCGAGCTCTTCTCCACACTTTCGTGCAGGCGGAGAGACGAATCAGCTCCGGCAACGCCTTGGTGCGTCCTGGCAGAAGCCTGCCTGATGACTTCCGCCTGGAACTCATGGGCACGCTAGGCCAAGGGAAGGCCGCCGCAGACCTCCTGGCCATGTTCCATGTGCGGACCAGAGGTCAATCCCGGCCGAGGTTAGATTTTGGCAATCCCCTAGTGCCAGATTTTTTCCTCAGTCACTTGGACAAGGAGGGCCAACAGACATCGTGTGCGACTGCTTTCCGCCTCCTGACTGGAGGAGAGAGTCAGAGGCTCTTGCGCGTCGCTATCGACGAAACGTATTGGCGTCCGACCTGGCAACCGGTGAGCCAGTTCAAAAACAGAGACGTGGCCATCGTCGGTGGCGGCTGGTCGGATGAAGCCAACATGGCTGTCCTGAACCCAAAGGATGGGCGGTCCGACCACGACCTAGCAAGGCTGACCGTGAGCTGCGTCGTCACCAGGTGCGATTGCAACCGCTTTACGTATGAGCTGGATTTGGTTCCACTTTTCGCGGGGAAAGGCAGCCAAAAATCCACTCTTCGTGGAGCTCGTGGGGCAGTTGCTGGAGAGCTTTGAGAAGGCCGGGCGAAAAGCGCTCCCGGTTTCTGTGGCCTACGACGGGGGCACGAGCAACAGCCTCCTGAACGCCGTGCTTCTAGGTCTCGTGGACCAGGACGAGATGAGCGACTACCCCTTCTTCCGCTCCGTCAGCGTCGCCAGACCTAACCTGAAGATGTTCCCGCTCGGCGTCCTGAGGTCGAAGTCGAAGCAGTACATCTCCGGCAGCAACGACTCCTTCCACTGCCTGAAAGCCTTCACGCTGCACCACAACAGCGCTTCGCGGACCGTGTTCTACGGGCTCTTTGCGGTTGACTGAGGTGTTTGCTGAGGGCGGGACTGCCGGTCTCGGCGTACACAAACAGAGACGCGCAGTCGGACAGCGTCCTTCACGGTTCCTCGAGGACAACTGGGAATGCGATGGCATTCGCATTTTCATGTTTCTCGGGGAGTTGATCTCCTCGACCTGGAACTGTGGACTGGGCCCCGAGGCTACGTTCCGCAACGCCATGACGGCGTGGTACCTTCTCTTGATCCAGGTGTCGGAGGCAAAGAGAATCCATGGCCAAGGATGGCGAGAGAGGGCGCTGCCATCTCAGACCATCCGCAACTGCCTGCATGTGGTGGCCCACGCCGCTCTTGCGTGCATTTACAACTGCAGCGGCACGCCATGGAGCCTCAGAGGGCGCCAGGAGCGACCAGCAGAGATCAAGGCAGCCCGGCCGTCTTGCTTGTAGGATCTTGTAGGCACTTGTGCGTAGTCCCCTGACGTACCCTCCAACATCCTCCAACATCCCCCAACAATCTCCAACAAGATCCAACTAGCATGCGCCCGTAGATGTCCGTAGGGTTTCGTAGAGAGATGTAGAGAGATATAGATAGTGCTTCGTGTTTTTTCCTGATTTGAAGCCGCTCCCCTCTACGTCCCGTCCCTCTGTCAGGCACCCTGGAGAGGCAACCCGTCCATTGCCAACGCCATCTACTCAACGCAGCTGGAGCACCTGAAGAACCTGCGCGACAGCTCCAAGTTCCAGTACCCTGCTGTCGCCCCTGCCTTCGCCGTAGACTTGCTGGAGGCATCCGAGCTGGCTGGGCAAGCGCTCCGGGGCGCGTGCTTTCTGCAGAGCATGTGGAGCAAGGCGCGAGACACATCCTTGGGCTATCTTTGGGATCTCATTATGGCGTCTTGGGGTACCGTGCGTAGGGCGTAATACGGTTCTGTGCGGTTTGGAACTTGGGTTTGAGGAGAGTTTATGTGCGGTTATGTGCGGCTTAAATATTGGGGCATATTGGGGCTATTTGGGGCTTAGGATGGCTTAGGGATGTTTAGGGTATTTTAGGATCTGGTCGGTCTGGCATAGTCTTGCGGATCCAGGCGCGAAAGGCGTCCTCCCTGCGCAATGACCTCATGCACCGGCCCAGGCAAGAAGCAGGAGCTCTCCACGTGGAACGCCGTGGAGCATGAGTTGGCGCTTGCAAGGCAGGCTTCGGCGCTGGATGGCGGCCAGAGACAGAGCCGCATAGCGGCGTGGACGAGCCGCCAGAACGCCATGCACGGAAAGGCCTCAGCAAGCGATCCCAGCGAGCTCCTGGTCACAAGAGTGACCCACTTCAAGAGCCACAGCGAGAGCCAGCTTCTGTTGTTCCTGCGCGCGGACGAGACCGTCTCCCTCTGCTTGCCGCTCACAAGCTTCAGAGGCGCAGTGCTGGCTGGCAAGGGGAACCCAAGACGTCTGCAGGTGGCCCGGCCAAGCGCAGCGCCTCTGCCAGCAGGGCTCGTCAAGGCTGTGAGAGTTGTGGAGTTGGTCGAGAGCTCCAAGACCACCTGGGTCGCTACGGGCCTCAACCCCGTTTCAATGCTGGACACCACAAGCGTCCTGGCCGAGGTGAGGGCGAAGGAGATCACGCGCAACAGCAGCCGCACGACGGTGAAGCTCAGCAAAGAAGCCCTCGAGGCGATGGCAGACTTCATCAAGAAGGCTCCCTGGAAAGAGGCCGCCGCTGCCGAAGAGAAGGTTGCTTGGGTCCACGTTGGCATGTTTTGGCAGTCTGTGGCTTTGCAGCTTGTAGTGTCTTGTAGCGTAAAGGTTTTCGTATGTTTTAGGCAGGCCGTTTCCCTTTCCTTGATTTTCCTTGACAAAGTGAGGCGACCCCCGCCGGCCTGGCTATCAGCAAACTCCCAGGCCTGACAGCCAAACAGCTCACGCCTGCAGCCGGGGTGAAACACATCCCACTTTTTCTGCGCGGTTTGCCAGCTATCTGGGAGGCTACGCCTCTCCTGGACAGCGAAGGTAGCTTCCGCATACCCAAGCGGTCGATCCCTTGGCCCGAGGTGTGTGTGAGAGCGCAAGACATGCTGGACGTCAAACTAGCTGGCAAAAACCAGTCGGAGTACGGAAAGTCTGTGCTTTGGGTTCTGCGCAGCCTGCTCCCCGAAGGGGACGGCGCCCTGAAGCGTCTCCAATCTTTTGTGCAAGACGTGGATAGTCTTGCTGCGCCGATGCTGCCGCTGCACTGATCGATCGGGGGCCCTCAACTAGGCAAGCGTCGAACCAAGGCCCGCTAAGAAAAAAAAAGTCAGTCAGCGCAGCGTCGTAGCTTTTGGCGGCTCCGAGGGATTGAGGGATCTCCTCTCCCAAAGCGCTGCTCCGGGATTAGAGCTCTGCATAGCTCAGCAGTCCGACGAGCAAAAAAAGAGAGACCGCGTTGGCAGTAGCGCTTTTGTGGAGAGAGTCACGCGGCTGAGCGCTTGCACTGACCGATTATATAATTACATATAATTACTAGAGACACTGATGGCATCCGGCCCGCGCGCCCTCTTGTCGCAGAAGTCTCGCAGTAGCCAAATATATTTGTGCCAGGATGCTAGAAAGTGGCTAGCCCCCGGGAATTTTTTGCAACCATCACAACCTATCCAACTGCAGCACACACCCTACTCGCACCGCGCTCTCGTGAACCCGTGTGCTGATTATGATAGGCCCGTGTGGACCACCGAAACCCTCCACAACATGAAAATCCTACAATTTCCAATCACACAGGGTCAGGGGATGCGGAAAATGTAGGTTACAATTTCCGCCCCGTCACGTCTTAAGGGTGGGGGGATCTTACTTTGAAAGAAAGTTGACAGTAAAGCTGCGCCAACTGACACGCCTTTTCTCAGAAGCTTTGAGTAAAAAACGGTCTACAGCGTTCGATCAACCTGCTGGGAAAGCATGGTACACTGCTGGTGTCACACTTGGGATTACGTGAGCCTACTGCGAATCCCGCTTCCGGGCCTCGCAAGATTCGTAAGGGAGGCTGGGCTATATTACACCAATAATGGAGAATCAGATGGAAATTTGAATTTGGACGCAGTGCGAGCGTGCTCTGAGCATGGCGGGCACTTCTGACCCTTCATTCCGTCTCTAGGTGAGAAATTTCATACCTTGCCATTATCTCGCCCAAAACAAGGAAATGCTCCAATAAGAAGAAACATGAAAAGGAACAACATAGATAACAGTAGAAAATGATTCAACATTCTGATAACCTATTCTGCTACGAGCCAGCTGACCAGACCCCCCCGGCTGCCCCGTCGTTGACAGTGCCAGTCGCAGGCGCATGAGGCCCGTCCAGGTCCTCCACCAGGTTAGCCGCGCTACATCCAAGTCACGTGGGCCGAGCTCGGCAGAGTGACATTTCGTCGGGCATTCCTGACTGGTGTTGGTCCTGAGTCCGGGACTTGGAGCATTTCTGTTGTGGGCTGAGGATCGTGGCAATGAGGGAGCCTGCGCGCGCCTACGGCGCGTTTCGCTGGGGTGGGCCGAGCTCGCTTGTAGCAGCCTTCCCACTCTCAGGCACCCTGTAGCAAGTGTCCGACATTATCGGGCCAGGGTTTGTTCTGAGGTATCAGTCTGGACGCAAGAAGAAAAGCAAGTAAGCTCCTTTGTTAATTTTGGCCAGATGTAAGGGTCTTACCGCAGAGAGGGAGCGACCCACTGTCATGCCTGCGGGTGGCGTTGGCCAAAATGCTCAACAGTGACTCGATTGAATCGACGACCCTATGTGTTAAACTCCCGACAAGAGTTGATACGGTACATAGATCCTGGACTGTCCGTCCGCCCAGACAGGGACCTGAATCACATTCCGCAGACCCGTCACAGGTGACTGGTTCTTCTCACCTTCACGCCAGCGACCGAGTACAACTGGAAGCACAACTGGAGGTTGCAAAAAGGCATATTGGAACCCTCCATTTGCTAAGGAACTAAGTAGAAAGGCAGGTCATTTGAGGGCCCCAACTGAAGTATAAGGGGGTAAGCCCGATCTTTGAAAGCTCAACTTGGCCATCTTAGCGCGCTTGCCAGTGAGCAGGCTGGAGCGCTCCCTCAGACCTGCTAACCATGGCCACATAGAACTCCGATGCATCTTGTTGCGGGCCATCAAAGCGTCAGTCCTGTGCCAGCGATCTCAGAGCAAAGGGGTATACAGGTTTAGGGGCCTAGGGTCTGTTGAGGGCTTTGTAAGATCCAAGATCTCCGGCAAAAGCGGGAGGTCTAGACCTTCAGCATCCAGATGAAACAAAGATTGCGCAACCGAGTTGATGTAGCATGAGTTCGCTGAGTTCAGCAAGAGTCGCTGTCCCAAGGGTTGATGGCGCGCAGTCTGCCGACGTGTCGCCCCTTTGAAGAGTTGGCCTGGAGTGACCTGCGTCGGCGTTGTTGTAGTCTTGGGCACCTGCGTTGTCAAAGCCCCCTGCGCCGGCCGTGCAGTATGCCAGTACAAAGCAAGCTGGAAGAAAACAGGGCACTGACCGCAGCGCTTATTCTTGTTATGAACAGTATGCTTGCAGAATGCACAAGACAGCCCTTTGGGGGTTAAAGCCGAAAAAGCAGCCACAGGTTTGTATGGTATTTAGAGCCTGGCGGCACAGGCCGGCCTGGCCGTCGCCCTTCCAAAGCCCAGCCATCACCTGCCCAGCCCTGCTGATGCTCCTGATCGTTTCTCCAAGCACGAAAAAATGCTATTCGTGCCACATGTCGTTTTTCTTGTTTGGAAGTTCTTTGTTCTCTCTAGTTTAACTCCAAACGACCCAAAATGGGGTCCCAATTGTGCTGCTGGTGTTCCTGTACGGAACCCCCGCGCGCGCGCGCCTCGTCCAAAAACATCATCAGCACAATTGGGACCCCATTTTGGCTTGATTGACACCAGGAGGGGTCAAAAACCCAAGAAAAGGCATCAAAAATGGCATTGAACCACAAACACAGCTCACAGCGTGTGTTGTGAGTGTTTTGTTGGGGTTTATGGCGCATTTTAAGCGCCCAGCAGCCCCCCAAGAGCCAGCATCATCAGCATCATGAGCATCATGGGGCATGCCTGGGGGCCACAAAAGTATTGGAAATATGGGCAAAAGACATTTAAAAACCATGCAATATGCACATTTTATAGGGTTAGGCCTGGGCAATGCACGCCAATCTTGTCTCATGCTTATCATACAGTGCAGATCCTACCAATGCTGGTTTTTACAACCACAAACACTGCTCACAGCGTGTATTTTGAACGTTTTGTTGGGGTTTATAGCGCTTTTAAAGTGCCCTGCGACTCCCCAAGAGCCAGCATCATGAGCATCATGGGGCCTGTTTGGGCCCCTGATTTCCTTCTTGACACCACATATATGAGGCTTCAAGACCATTCCAAGACCCTGATTATGTTGAGATGGCCAAAAGTGAGAAACGAAGGCCCAATTGTGCTGATGATGCTTGCCCAAAAAAACGTGCTCTAAACCCTCCCTACCGTGGGGGAAGCTTCAAAAACGCGTCCAAAAATCATCTTCATTTTTGACCCTCCACCAGGGCCTCCAAAGGAGGGGGTCGGAGGCAGTGGCGTCACCCCGTATAAGCATAGCTTAGCTAGGCGTGCATCCGCACTGGACCACGAGGGCCAGGCCGGATTATCATGCACCGACTGCTGCTCCGAGCAATGAACTTTCCTGATATGAGACTTGATCTTAGTGTAGTCCGGAGACCAGAACTGGCATAAGTCTGCAGCTCTTGGGCTTCTGAGCTCCGAGCTAACTTGGGAGATCTGGTCTGAGGGCATGTTAGGACCCGAAAAGTGAAGCTGTCACGGACCCTTTAAAGCAAACGATCTTGGTTCGCTTGTTGCTAAAAAACAGTCTGCCTGACAGGGCAATCTGCTTGCAGAGTTCAACCTTACGACTTCTGGCGCGAACAGAGGTTGCCGCTTGAAAGGTAGCCCACAGAAAATGTCACGGTTTACTTTTTTACTTGTGTCTGTTGGCCATTTTGCAGTGCAATCTTACCGGACGCTTACGCTGCGTTGGATCCTCAGCAGGAATTGTTTAGCCAGGAAATCAGAATCTTGTTGAGCAATTCTAAATGGAAGGTTCAGCTGCTTGAGCCCATGGCAGCCCCAGCGAACATTGCAGCGTCAGCTAGGCTGAAGGACAACACCGACATTTTGCCGCCGGGAAAGTCAGACGGATGGAGGAAGTAATCCAAAAGCTCGAGCTGATGGCCAAGCGCTGTTGGAGCCTGCCTGATGTCGCCGAGCGAAAGACAGAGGCCACAAAATTTAATCTTTTCACATCATTCTGGGGTTCAGGGCTGGGTCATAACAAGGTTTCAATGTATGCTCGTGTGCAGATACCTGTTCAAGTATGGCCAATTTTGGCGTCATTTCACGTGACATGTGTATAGTACAGGTTTTGACTGCATGAATACCAGTATGAAACATAATGTTAGTTTTAAGGCGTCAATGCAAGAGCCATGCCGGCATCTTTTCGTGTTTGAGGCGCTAAACCATTTACACCCATTGCTTTTAAAAGGCTTGCAGTCCGTATTGCCGCAGGTAGGCATTGGGGATGCTTTGGGATTTGGAAGAATTTGCGTTGCGAGTGACTCGGGCGTGCAGAACAGGTACGTCAAGGTCAAAATTACAACAGTGTATTGTATGCCAGGGACCTTGGATGCTGCAAGATTAGATTGTTTAGTTTGTCAACACATGCCTTTGTTGGATCTTTGTCGTTCAGCTTGTTTTTCTGTGAAAAGCGCCTTCCGCTAGATACTAGATGCGCCGAAGCCAAAGTCCTTGAGTTCCAGCGGCACATGTGTCTGCAATGCCCTCTTCCAGCAGGTGCATGTGGCTTACGAGCACCTCGTGAAGGTGTACCGCTTCTGACGACCAGCGAAGTACAAGTGATAGCCAGCATCCTCCTGTCCAGGCCGGGCTTCTAAAGCTCTATCCTGCCACCCTTGAGTGGCATGTCATGAGTGTACAGGGCTGCGCACCCAAAGCAGCCCATATATTTGAGAACAACCCACTGCAGGTGCAAGATTCCAGCCAAGCTCGTCATTGATGTGGATGAAGCGGCAGCTTGGCATGAATTTGTTCTCCTTAAGCGCGTTGACTACCGACGCCGGTGATAAAAGACTCTTTTCCTGGCAGGGTTCTCTTTTCAAATGTCGCCCAATCCTGACCAAGACCTGTGGTACAACGGTAAGCTCAGATCCTAGCATGTTGTGT